GTGGTAAGATACAATACATCCCAAGTAATTTTCCAGTTTAAATTATGAAGAGTCCAGCTTCCCACAAGTGAACAATAAGCAAGTCAAAAGTGAATCAATCCAAATGGTAATAGCACACAGGCAAGATGGTGCCTATAAAAAGATTCTGACAGAGATAAGAAGACACACAAAATACTGTAATAAATGGGAAGACATAGCAGGCATTATACGGAATAAAGATGAAAAGTCTTTCTAATGTAATTATGTATTTAATACAATTGATCAAAATAACTTTTAAAATTTTTCCAGGATATTCTTTTAGAAGTTTTATAGGTATAATAAGCAAATATATCCAAGGAGGTTTAAACAATAAATACTGCAAAAAGTATTATTAAATACTGATGATTTTAAAAATGGAATGAAATACAAAAAATTGCTAATCTTATTTAAGGTAGTAAAATTATGGGTGAAATTTTTCTTCATATTTTTCTATTATAATTTTACCCAGTAAACATACCTACTTTCATAAACTCTTAAAAATAATAGCTTACTTAGGGGCCAGCTGATGGTGTAGCAGTTATGTTGCTGAACTCCCACATGGCTGACATAAATAAAGAAAATCTTACTTCATTTTAATTAATTGTATAAAATTAGTCAAATGATGGAATCCATGATGATTTTTCTTCTTTATACATTTTCATATTATCTAAACTTACTATACACATATTCTAAATTCAGAAGGAAAAAAGCTTTGTTTTTTAAAACTCTTTCACGATCCATCTTCTACTAAGTTAAAAGTCAGCCAGCATCCCACTGCTCCAATTTAAATGTGCTTCCCCTTACACAGTCTTCAGAAACAACAGGGAAAAGTTTCCATATTCAAATAACTGGTGATCTGACACGTCATCTTTTCTGAAAGCTCAAATGGATTAGCCTAAAACAGCTTTCCCACGATTGCTTAGTTTTCTATGAAACGTTGGTTTCTATTTCTGACTTGGTTGGGATTTTTTTGTTGGCTTTGTTTTGTTCTTTAAGAGAGATTTTTGTTTTCTGCTCACTGGAGACACAGAAAAAGAGAGAAAGAAAGTGAGCCACCAATCCCCAGGGGTAATGGCCATACCGCAGTCCCTACTCTTCCATTCTCCTCTCAGGATTTTGGACACACACGCACACGTGCCCAGTGTGAGTTTCTTTTTTTTTTTTTTCTTGAGAGGTTTTTGCAATAGGGTGTGTGCGCTCGCCAGACAGACAGAGAGGTATAGAGACAGAAAGCGAGAAATCACCCCCTAGGGGGGATGATCACGCCACAATCCCTTCTCCTCCATTCTCCTCTCGGGATCTTGGGCACGCACGCACACGCGCCCAGTGTGAGTTTTAAGCCACTGGGTCCGGGACGTGAACCATGGTCCACTACGTGGGAGTCCAACGACATAGCCATTACGCTAACTGCTGGTTCCCAGCCCAGCGTGAGTTTCAAGCTGCCAGGTCCAGGACTCAAACCATGGTCAGCCATGTGGGAGTCCAACACCTTAACCACTATGCCTCCTTCTGGCCCCTCTGACTTAATTTTGACAGAATAAAGAACATGGGATTTTTCAAGAGATACCCAAACTCTTCCTTTACAACAACAACTAAATAAATAAATAAAAGTAAGAAATTGCTATATTTCCTAAAAGGATATTCACATAGAAATGACAAAATATTTGCCTTATTGTGTGCTTTACTACAAGCTGTAATTATATATCCATTTTAAAAGGCTTAGCTAGCTAGTGAGCTATCCATCCATTCAACGAATTATCTATCTATTCTTTATCCTCAAAAATAAACATCCAGTCCAATTTGTTTTTCTTTCTTTTTTTCTTAATTTTCTCAGAGGGTACATGTGCTGGTAGAAGAGAGACAGAGACAGAGAGAAGGAAAACACCACCCTCCTTGGGGAATGGTCACACCTTAATCTCATCTCCTCATCTGTCCCTCCTACTTTGGGAATTTTGGGTACGCATACACATAGACCCAGCAAGTTTCTCAA